AATTTGAATCTTCAAAACAGTAAACATGACGATGTCCGGCATGCATATTTATACGTGTTTGTATAAAATAAGCACATTCATTAATTAGCACCCTTCCTGGAGAGTCCCATCCACGTTATTTATTTTAGCAGGTGCCCCATCTGAAACAGCCCTAAGTGTCCCTAAGTAAATAAAAATATCTTTGAATCTCCAGTGTCTTGCGTTTTATCCCAGAGATTCCAAAGACATTCGACCTTCTTTTACGGTAACTATGATCCTTCCCTCGTCCAGATGAACAAAGTGTCCATCGTTAATAGAAATATAAACAAAGGCCTGATTTGAAAACTATCGATGATCCTTCTTCACAATTATAGGTATAATGTTATAAGCGCACTATGAAATATCTGTATAGGGTGTGCGGTCGGAGAGGGTATGGGAGGTGGGCTTTACAGCCAAAGCAAAGGAGAAGGTGAGCTGAGGAGGTAGGGGCCTTCCAGGGCTGGAAATCCTCAGGATTAAGTGAATGACTGGTATCTACCTTCTGAGAAAAAGAAAACCTCCCTGGCTATGTGATCAAGAAACTCAGAGACTCAACATCATTACGCTGTGTAACTTCAGGAATTTGTATTTCAAGACGTGCACAGATTTCTCCAGTTATCTCCATCTGAACATCCCAAACCCATCAGACGGTGTGTCTACATTCTATGTCAAAGGCCTGTATTACTTTCTGCAATCATCTCTTAAAAGAAGGCCACGCAGGCCCCGCCTCTCCTTTTTGGCCGCCACCATTGGTTCCAACACAAGGTACTATTATAAATGAGGCTCAAAATAATCAAGAAGAAGATCATTCCAGAGAAAGGTCCTTAAACGCTCCTTCGGCACCTCGTCCCCATCTGCTCGCACGGCAGCGTGACAAGCATGTAGAACTTATTCATAATTCCCTGCGCTGCTTCCTTAGGCCCGCTGACTCTATTGGGATGGCAGTGCTAACCTAAAAACTGAATTGCAAAGCTGAATCATCTCGCAGCTTAAGAAAAACCAACAACAAAGTGACAAGACAAAATTTCTTTGTTTGCACCAGGGCCGAGTATGTGATTTTGACTTCACAAATGACTTTGGTATTTTAAAGGATTTTTTTTTTAAATCACAATATTATAAAAGTTGGTAATCATCACTTCAAAATGACAGATTCTATTGTTCATGGCAAAATTTTCAGTTGGTTTTCTCATACCGGTGGTTCAATTGAAAGATTCACCAACTGTTCCCTGGAGAAAACAGAAGATCTGCATTTAAATGGAGATATAGTATTTCCAAATGCACAGTACCTAGAAGGCAGATACTGTCAAGGTTTCTTAGTGAGAATAACTCAAATTGTGTTAGGTACATCTCGATGCTGTAGTCATCTCCATTCTCATAGGGCTCTGTCTGTTTCCATACCATTCTTTCTCCTCCGCACATTCTTTGTAACATTCGTCCCAAGGAGTTAAAAACCAAACCTTGCTCCGCTGCAAACTCCCCACATCAACAACAAGCGATCACTACTGTACATATCATTTCTGATGTGTACAGAAAAAGACCACAGAAGATAGGTTGGCCAGAAATGTTAAATAATTGAAAAGTATAATGACTTAATAGAGTAGTAAGCTTAGTTTACAATGCAGCCAATTTAAAGCCATAAAAATACTGTGTAAAAATTTTATCTTGTGGTTGACCATTACATATATCCTATCTATTATTCAAAAGTATCTCAACACTGTTTTTCTTCATTAATGTGGCTTTTGGCATTTCCCTCAAAATCTTTTTTTGTTCCTGCACTTCTCCAACAATTTTGAAACAAACACAAAAATCCCTACGTGGGGTCATAAATCTGCATCACCAGGATAATGAGCTCTTCGATGTCTAATTGAAATTAATTTTATAGGTCAATCTGTAAGGCCTACTTCAACTTCCTCGAATATGATTTGTTTTGCATTTAAGGCAGCCAAGCACGCAAGACATAAAAAGAAAAGAAAAGAAAGAAAGAAAGAAAGAAAGAAAGAAAGAAAGAAAGAAAGAAAGAAAAAAAAAACCCAAACAGGACTAAAGCTACCTGTATCAACACATCCGTAAACAAAAGGAGAACCTGATAAATTTCCCCTCTTCCTGTGACACACTAATCCAGGGATTTGTCTATATTAGAAAAAGTCATGGGGCTTCAGGAAAGTTTTGCCTTGAGTGCTTGGCTAAGGTGTGCAGAGCATGTCTGTGAAGGAGGAAAAAAAGAGACACTTAGGATCAATTTCGAACATAAGCCCATTATCATTGGCAGGCTCTCGCTAAAATTCTAGATGCAACCAAAATGTCCCTGTAAACAAGGTTACTGACAACAGCCCCAGAAATGCTCAGCGACACTTTTCCCCAACCATCAGCTGTGCGCCTGGTTAGTTTTACCTTACTTTGCTGCCCTGCCATTCTCATGCTGATTCAAATTCAGAACTCAAAATGAAAGATGAAATATCTTCAAGATCACTTAATATTGAAATACCGTTGCAGTAATAAGTGGTGCTCAGTTGGAGATGGGAACATGGTACTCTCTGGTTACCTCTTGGTAACCTTTTAATTTCTGGAAAAATTGCACAGAATAAATTGAGTGGCACACGCATGGAGACCTAATCGATCGATCTGCTCCCTTCTGTTAAAGCACCACCCATCAGAGAGTATCTTTGCTCCCCTCTCGATTCCTGTGAAGAAGACCAGCAGGTCTCCCTCATACCAGCCACAGAGATTTAAATGCTACTTTGATTTATTAAAGAAAATAAATCATCTTTTATCGACCTTCCTCACCTGAGACCATGGACAGTCTCATGGGCTACCTGACATCATTCTCAACACACACACACACACACACACACACACACACACACACGTCTACATGATGGGAGTTTAAAGAGTTACGAGAACTTTTAATAAAAACAACAGTCATGCACCACAGGCAAATACCTGCCTCAAAGGTCATCTAGGCCTGTCTTATGATCTACTTGACTCTCTTCATATTTGAAGGAAATAAAGCCCCGTCAATGTCACCCCGATCTCCACCTTATTTCTGTCTGCTATTCCTCAGCTCGGATTTGAGAGCTGTTTAAATTTCCCTCTCTTTCCCACGATGATAGGACTGTTTCTTACATTGCCTACCTCATTCTGATCACATCAAATCTACCGGACAGGAGAAAACGAAACCAAACAAAAAATAAAAAAATAAAAAAACAAAAAACAAAAGACACCAAGAACCCTGACACCCCTCCCCAATCCCATTCCCTGCCTTCCCCTTGAGGACGTTTCTTCCTCCTCTGGTCTCTTGCCTGCTGCTTCTGAATTTGAGCATTTTCCAAACACACTCCCCTATTTGGTCTTTGGGCAGCGTGAGAAACAAAGGAGAGTTTCTCTTCAAAACTAGACCAAGTCATTCAGCTGCTCTGAACCACTTCAAAACATCCGCAGGTCTCTTGATCCTGACTTAAAGTATTAAGCACTAGTGTTCGGAAAGTAGTAGGAGGTCATATGTGGACCCAACAGCTTCTCTTAACTCACGTGTGGGCAATTTTTTTTTCTTCTTCTTCTTTTTCTTCCTTTTCTTTCTTTCTTTCTTTTTCTTCCTTTCTTTCTTTTTTTTTTTTTTAAAGAGAGAGGGAGACAGAAGGGAGAAGGTGCTATTTTCAACATTGCCCTCTGGTTTATGTTAGCAGCATCATTTGCTTTCTGCGTGTGTCTGTGTCTTGCTGCACGGCCACTGGTTCTGGTACTACAACACAAACACAGCAAACGTGCCTCCCCGAGCCCAAGCAGACCCATGTGGCAAGTCGCAACATCACCGAGGCAAGCACAATAAATAAACACATACATAATAATCATTCCAAGGCACTGAGGCAGGCGGGGGTTTCTCCAGGCCCTTTTGGACTCTTCCAGAATTGCTCATTAAGATTCTGAAAGGGGGAGGGGGTGCAGCTAGGAAAAGGTTGCCGGAAGGGAAGAGAAGGGGAGAAGGAGGTGGGGATTTGCCCTCTGTGTCTTTCTCCCCGGGAGAACCTCCTGTCACCCAGCAAGGAGTGGGGTGGGGTGGGGGGGGCAGCCCTATCCTGCAGCCGCTCCTGATAGACTTGAGGGGCGCAAGGGGGTAGGTGGTTTGAGATACTTCAATGACGGGTTCGGGTGACCTCCGTGCAACTTCGGAGACTCCGTCCCTCTGGAAGGTGAACCGCTTTCGGGAGCCGGGAGGGAAGGAGGCGCAGAGGACAGGAGGAGACAAGTAGGGCTACGGCAGCAGCAATCAGCAGAAGGATTTCCCAGCCCACGACAGCAGTCCTCAACTCCTGACACCGCCCTGTGCCCCCCGGCGACCCCCTCCCCAGGCCCCGTCGCCCCAGAGGCCCCAGGGCTCGCCCCAGCCCCTCCCAGCCGGGGGCCCTAACTCTGCCCTCACTCTTTGCCACTTTCCCCGAGCCCTGAAGTCTCCCCAGGGAGGGGGAGGGGAGAGGTGTTGAAAGAACAAATCTCACTGAAACCAGAATTTCTCTGTGTCTCCAGCACACACACACACGCTGACAGTTTTGCAGTCATGGTAAGGCAAGTCTACAAGAGGCGGAGGGCACTTAGGGCTGTGTCACTGAGGGAGGGGCTGCTTTCTTCTTCTTCTTCTTTTTTTTTTTTTCTTTTTTTTTTTTTTTGCTCTTTTTTTTTTTTTTTTTTTTTTTTTTTTTTTGCAAGAGACTCTAAACAAGTGAAAGGGGAGGGTGGAGGGGGTTGGGGAGGGAGGGGGGGTAGATCAGCCATAGAGATTTCCACCAGGACTGCAAATCAAGAATGCCCCAGATGCAAATGTCTGTCTCCAGATGTTGATGATAAGGGTTTGGACCGGTTACCTTGGCAGGGTCAGAACTGCAGCAGGTTAATCAGGTGAGTCGCCGGGGGTTTTAAAGAAGCCGAAGCCGGTTTCTTGGGCTAGGAAAGTCTACCAAACCCCCATGCAGGCACAGTGCACATCTTACACACGCCTCCTTTAGCTGGGCTCCCGCGACCTCAGCCGGCGAGGGGGTGCTGGGCGGCCGGCGGGCGGCAAGGGCACGGCCCCCCGCGCTGCCCCCGCGGGCGCGGGCCCGGCCTGGCCCCCGGGGTCCGCGTCCCGAGCGGCGCTGCACTCACCGAGCCGGGCGGCGAGGGCCAGAGGGGCGCCCGCGGCTAGCCGGAGCGCGGAGGCGCCTCCCTTCGCTCTTGGTAGCGTCGATCCGCACTCGCTGTGACCCGGGACGTCACGATGCCTGTCTGTTTTCTCAATGATAACTTGGCAGCAGAAGAGCGAGGCCGCCAGGTTCTCCTCGGGTGGCTACGTGGTATGTGCACGTTTCTGTTTGCATGCCTGTCTCTCTCCCTCTGTCTTTTTAAGAATAAATATCTGTGCTTTTTTTTTTTTTAAAAAAAAATGACATTTCCCGGCACTGTCATGATTTGATGGCATTATTGCGTTGGCATCATTGACGCCTCTGGGTGTGTGGGTGTGTGTGTGTGTGAGTGCGTGCATATATATATATATATATATATATATATATATATGGGGTTTTTTTCTTTTTCCCCTTTAAATCCTGCTGCCACTGCCGCCGCCGCCGCAGCAGCCGCTGCAAAGGGAAAGCAAGCATGCGTTCATCTTTTGTCTTTCATTTTACCTTCAGGGTGACATTCAGTGCCAACTGCTCCCTTTTGACCGGCGCCAATCCCCGCCCGGGCAAAATAAATTTAAAAAAAAAACGTGGGGGGGGAGGGGGGAGGAACGCACCCCCCCCCACACACACACACCCCTCCCACCCCCGCAGCTCCCGTGCTGGGGTCGCGATTCCTCCCCCCCACCTCCACCAGCCCCCGGGCCGCGGACCCCACACCTACCCCGACCCCCCGACACACACCCCCTGCTCCTCCCACCTCCCCCCACCCCCTTGCAAAATCATTTTCCCTTCTACCCACCGGGCCCTGGCAGAGAATCAGCACCCAGACAGCGAGGAGCATCCACCCCGGGCCAGACACTCATGTTCGCGGCTCGCACTTGCTGACTTGCATCTCAGATGCCTTCTCGGTGTGTAGGCCTCTCACAACTGGAGCTATTTTTGTCTCCCAGAGATGTTCTTTAAAGCCTTTTAAAAATGGGAAGGGGGGCAGGGAAGAAAGAGAGACAGAGGGAGGGAGGGAGAAATAAAAGCCCAAGCCCCCTATTTGAGGGGCTCTACAGACACATCAGGAAATTTGGGGGGTGAGGGGGGAACTCCTGGCATCCGACCCACCAGGGGAGTTTGAAAGGGCAGAAAGGATAACTGGCTCTTTATCCAAATTCTTCTACAGCAGCAGGAAAACTTTTTTTTCTGAACACAAAGATATTATTGCCGGCTATCCACTGTTATTTGTCATTTTTATCATTACGTGCTCTAGAATCAGGAGGAAAGGTCTCAACAATAACTCTTAATATTTATTTCTGCAAGCACGGGGATGTAGTTTAGGTGGTGGGGCCACGTGACAGGTAAAGCGGGGATCACATCTTAGAACAGTTTCTGTTATTTGTACATCGGTGTGTTTGATGTAGCTTCTATTAATCATAATATTGTGCATATTAATCACCATATGCGCATTACTGGAAAATAAATATCTAGTGCCTGGTTTGGCAGATATTTTGCCCTTCTTTATCGCAAATTCCCCATCTGGAGCAGAAGAATGGGCTTAGGGATTTTTTTTTTTCCCCCTACACGCTTCTTTCTTTTTGACCTTGGTCACCATCATGGATTGGTAAAGTCATTTGCCCAGAGATTCCAAATCCCTAAAAGATGACAGCATGAGCCAAGGTTGCAAAAAATAAAAGTGTGGAGGAGAGCGTCACATCTGAAAAGCAAAGCTGATTGGGAGAAAAAACTTTTGATCTCATCCAAGATCATCTGCAGCTGCTGTAGGTGTAAGACTAGTTTACCTGTTTTGAGAGGCTGGCTAAATTTAATGCAAATAGCAAGTAACTTGTTAGGTCTTTTCCCTTTAGAGTCCTACATCAAGAATCACTAGCAAGTTCCATAGGGAGGATATTGTAATTATGCAAAGACCAGAGGATCAGAATTGAAGAGCCTCACTGAAGTAGCCCGAAGAGTGTCTGAGCACTCTTGACTATTAGATCCCAAAACTTGAACACTGCCTCCTCCTCACCCCTAACAACTGGACACAGCTCTCTGGCTCTGCTTATCAGTCTCCTTAGAACGCCAGAAAGATGAACTGGTGCAGTCTTGTCCAGGGCTTAGAGGTCATCAGTGTCAAAGATGATGCGAAAGAAGGCAAGGGCCTACTCAGAACTCAGTAGGTATCATCTACTTTTTAGTAACTATCCAAGAGAGGCTTATTAATATTCAATCTATCACCCTGGTTCTCCAGCTTTATTACTTAGTAGCCTTAGATTGGACCTTTAAAGAGACACTGCAAAAAAATAAAATTATTTTATTATTTTATTTTAAATAAAAATGAAAATTTGGCTAAATTCTTGAAATCCACTTTTTTTTTTTTTCCCGGACAAATGCCTTCCATGCTGTTTGCCAGCAATCCACATGCCTCTGCAGGCAGCCAAGCGGGTGAGATATCTGAGCAACCAGCAGAGTAGAGGCAGAGTCCTCCAGTCCTCTGAAGTTTGACTAGATTCTTCCTAAACCCGGATTCTCTAAATCCACCTCTGGCCAAGAGCTGCTCTCTGTTGTTTATTCAAGTCCAAACTCTTCAGACTACATTCAAGTCTTTATTTTCTGGCCTTCACCCTAAATATAATAGTTAATATTGTAGCACGTTCAGTTTAACTTTCCAACCAAACCAAAGGGGAAAAAAATTGCTTGCTAAGTTGGATGGAATGCATAGAAGGCGCTGTCTTAAACTTTGCTTGTGTTTAGAACTTGTAAATCTCATTAAAGCTTCCCAACAAGAACACGAGAGGATTATTGGTATTCCCATTCTACCCAAGGAAAGGGAGGCACACACAGAGAAGTTAAGTAATTTGCCCAGAGTAACACAGCTGGGATTCAAATGCCTTGTGACCTCACCATCAAGCTCTCTGCTTACCCTACGTACCGATTCCACTTCATGTCTTCCTCCTCCTGTCTTGCAGCCAGGCTGCTCACCCACCACCCACTTCACCTTGTGTTAACTCCAAGGTCACCGCCCAAGCATTTGATGCCCCCTTCCGCCTCTTTGCTATTCAAGTTCTAGCTATTGGCCAAGGCCAAGTTCAAGTCCTACTTTGCCCACAAAGCCATTATTTACTATTATTGGGTGTATCGATCATTCTCTCTCTCTCTGTTCTACACTGTTCACTTCTACGTGTGACATCACTGTTCTCTGTTTCTGGGGTTTATTTTTCATCTCTTCTTCCTCTCTCAATTCCTTTCTGACAGCATTACACTTTTTTTTTCCCCCTGCCTCTTCCGGTTTGCCTAAAGACAACACTGGCTGTCCTTAAATCGCTTCTGATGTACTGAGGGACACAGAACTGCCCTTTGGAGAGCTAGGATGCCACTTTTCCATCTGACAGAAACTGCAAGTGCTATGAAGCAAAAGTTTTATCCTTTTAACTGAAAAACTTGCGAGCTTGTTTGTCCGTATTTCAGATAGTCCCTCAAAACAATCAAGTAAGATCAGAGGTAGAATTATTTAATCGGAGAAGCAGCTGATGATGGGTTAGAATGTCATACGTGTGGGGGCTGGTGAAGAAAACTCAATCATTGTGGCTTTTTAGCTGTTATGAGCCTTCCTCTGTTGTATTTTGAATTTTCCGAGTGTCACATTAATGTTTCTGTTTAGAAAGATAGGAAAATAAGTGAGGACCAGTAATTGCAACACCTGTGATCTCATCTTGCTTCTGCTACTGATTAGCCGTGTGTAACCTCTGGCAAATTATTCCATAATCCTGGGCCTCAGTTTCCCTCTCGCACAAGAAGAAATTTAACTCCAGGGTCCATCCGACTCTAAGCTTCTACAAGTCTGAAACAGGATGTGGGAGACAAAGAAAAAGAGGGCGGAAGGTGCTTCGGTGGCTCAGTGGTTGAGCATCTGCCTTTGGCTCAGGTCGTGATCCCAGGGTCCTGAGATCGAGTCCCGCATCAGACTCCCACAGGCAGCCTGCTTCTCCCTCTGCCTATGTCTCTGCCTCTCTATCTGTGTCTCTCATGAATGGATAAATAAAATCTTTTTAAAAAAGAAAAGAAAAGAGGGCTCAGCCTAGGAAGACTGTTTTTTGGGGGGAGATACAAAGAATATGCTAAGGAGCTCAGGTAAAGCTAACAAAGGTCATATTTCTAATTTCTGGGTATACTTAAGGGTAGCTCGAAAAAATCCATATACAAAAATGTGTTCAAACTTATCTAAGATGGTCTCTTTTATATGAGATAAAATAATTAATTGAGTGTACCAATAGCCCACCATAGCAGCTAAAATATTACTGGCTATCATTCACGCTTGCCTATAACTTTGTTTCTAAAACAATCAGATGGTTAAACAGACCTCATTCGATAGGAACCGATCCGACCATTTTTGCCCAGATGCCTTAGACTCATACTTAGCTTGAATTAAATCACAAAGTTAATTGAAGAGCACGGGTTTATGGTGAAGAGATTCAGGATCTAGAACCAGAAAAGAGCCTCCTCCATATTTCCTCTTTGCAGCTAACTTTGAGAAAGCCCCTTTCGGTGTTGCTTTCCTGATTTGCCCTTACTGAAGTCTCATCACTCATGGGCCATCTCACCGGTTTTTGTGAGGATAAAATGACATGGCAGAAGCGACAGCACTCTTCCAACACAACAAAACATTATCACGGCAGATGGACCACATTTCAGACCAGAGTTGATTTTCTAAAACACTGTACAACGTTAATAGAACATAAGGTCCCCTGGCTGAGAATCGAAGTTGATTTCTACTTGCTGGTTAGAGGACTTCACAAAGTCCATTAGCTAGCTGAGGATGATTGGGGAGAAATCCCCTTGTCCCAGTCCATACTCAAAACCTGGTACAAACTGTGGGAAAATATTACAGCTAATCACATCAACTAGGACCAAGGTAATTAGAACACCTCCTTAAAATAGAAATTTAGGGGCCCCTGAGCGGCTTGGTCAGGGAAGCATCTGACTCTTGGTTTCAGCTCAGATCATGATCTCAGGGTCATGAGATTGAGCCCTGCATAAGGCTCCATGTTCTGCATACAGTCTGGACTCTCTCCCTTTCCCTGTGCCCCCCACCCCCACTCGATTGCTCTCTCTCTCTCTCTCTCTGAAATAAATAAATAAAATTTAAAGTAAGTAAATAATAAAACAGAAATTTATACCATGCCTCTGACATGAAAAAATGAAAACAATTTACAGGGGTCCTCAAGCCAGATTGTATGATAGCTCTAAGGATCCATGGACGGATTTTTAAAAGTCTTAAAATTGTAGGCAAAATGTGAGTGCATATGCA